GTAATGAAATGCTTCTTCTAATTATATGGTTATTAAATAAATAATATAAAAAATGTAATATTATAAACTCTACATAACTTAGTGATTGAGATTTCATGTTCACTTTAGCAAAAAACCCAAATTATGTATTTGGAGTTCCTTTTGTCAGATAAGTTTTATGTGTAATGTCTATCTCCAAAAGATGAAAAATCAATGAAGCATTCTAATTCAGCTTGACTTTCATATTTATAATCTATTACACATTCTTCAGTTAGCAACTCCCTTGTGTATCCAGAATGTATTGTAAAATACATTTGCATATATACTCTATATGTTTGTGTACATGTGCATAAATAAATATGTGCTTCCTTGTGGAAATGTGTAATTAAGTTCAAAATGGTGACAAATAAAAGCATGCTATAAAAATTCATACCATTAATAGTGAACATTCTAAAAATAGAGTAAAACATTTGTAACAACAACAAAAAAGCTTCATTATCCAATATGTTTTGGAAATGAAGTACATACCATCCCTCTTAGAAATTTAACAGGGCAGAATAACATTAAAGCCTCTGAAAAACTGGTAAACTTAATACTCTAGATGGTCTGAAAGTACCTTTTTGTTGAAATATGTTTTTTAGCACTAGACAAGAAAAAGATCTGTAGTTGTAGAGTTTGTTCATTTTTCTGTTTCCTTCCACTAAAGATTACTGTAGAATAAGTGTAAGGACATATCTTATCTCCAGCTGTCATTGGGATACTTACAGGATATTTATAAAACATGAAACGTGGTGCTTTCTATAAGAAATAGAACTTTCTTGAAGCTTTAGCATCTCAGATATCAACCATATCATCTTAGTAGATAATACATAAAATTAACATGGTTTTATTTTGTGAATTTTTTTTTTGATATTATTCTGATTTGGATGCTTTAGTTATTCCAAAAGAAATAACTTAGCAAGATATAGGACTTACAGTTCTTAAGGGATGACTTTTCTAACATATTAGAAAAACTTGGTATTTTTTTTTTTTGCCTAAATGTATCTGTTTTTATAAACTTGAGGTTCTAAGTGACTGCACAGCTTGTATGAACATACTGACACATCTAAAAAGAGAAAAACTATGTTTTTTTCCTATCCCTACTTGACTAGGATATAGTGACTACATCAGGATGGGCATTAGCCCTAAGAAACTTGTCATGGGTCTCCCCTGGTACGGTTATGATTATACCTGCCTGAATCTGTCTGAGGTAAAAACAGTCATTTGTTATTATGTAATATTACTCTATTATTTTGTTCCACCATGAATATATGACAAGCTTTATTTAAATTTCTGAACTATAGTTTGAGGCTAAAATTTTGTTTCTATTTAATTATTTAATACAGAAGCTTCTGAAGGCCATGCATTTTCATTTGATTATACATTTATTTCTATATAATCAGGTTATTTATAGCATATGTTTTATTTCTAACAAGTAGTTTTCATTATTTTTCTCAGTTTTGGCTTTTAAGATTTGCTTGATAATCTTTAACATGAACATTTTCTGTATTTCTAGGATGATACCTGCACCATTGCAAAAGTCCCTTTTCGGGGGGCTCCTTGCAGTGATGCTGCAGGACGCCAGGTGCCCTATAAAGTGATCATGAAGCAAGTCAATAATTCCATTTCTGGAAACCAATGGAATAAAGATCAGCAAGCTCCTTATTATAACTATAAAGTAAGACTTCTCACAAATTATGAACATTTTATTTTTATTTTATTTTTAACTTTTATTTATTATTTTTATTTTATGTGTATGCATGTATTGCCTGCATGTAGGTAGGAGGACAGAAGAGGCTGTCATCCCCTGGGAGACTGGAGTTATGGACAGTTGTTAGCTGCCATGTGGGTGCTGGG